GAATTCTCCACTCACCCTGCTCCATTCTACGGGGTTAATCTTCCGTCTGGTTGGTTTTCCAGTGCAATCCCTCCTTTAGAGACTGCCTTTGTTCTTATCTTTCTCCCCCACTCCCCAGTCATTTAAATTCAAGGTGATCTCGTATGAGATCTCTGGGTATGGACAGCCTATGTATACACTAAGAGAGAGAATGCACCCCGAATGGCATGACCTCGAATCAACCGGCTTTGCTTTTCCCAGTTTTCTCGTTCCACCCCAAAAGGCTGGTGAGCTGTCGAACATGATTACCGAAGTCCAGCCTACATTTCCAACATCCTTCATCTGCCTGCCTGCTCCTTTCCATTTTCCTACCTGATTTCCAATATGCTGTAGGAGTAATTTGGTGCCACTAAGCTTTTCGCCAGAGGCTTTGTGCAGGTAATAGCTTCCTTCCTTTAATCCATTTGTATTAGCTTTGTGCTTCTTCTTCACTTGAAATTATTCCCCAAATCTGCTCCTGGGAGCTTCTAAACTCCTGAATCTTTAGGGTCAAATTCATTCATTCGGTGCTTAATGAGCACCTACTAAGTGCATACTAAGTGAAGCAAGAGGAATGTGAAAATGATGGACAGGCTGTGTACCATCAAGTCTCTTCCAGCTCATAGCAGCCCACGGTCTACATACAGGGTTTTTCTCCCAGGGTCAGACTGGTGAGTCCCAACGACCAACCTTTCTTTGAGTGGCCAAGCACTTTAACCATTGTACCGCAAGGCATCCTTGATGAAAACATGGTTTGAAATTGTGATTCTGCATCTCAAGGATCTCATGGCCTCTGTGGAGTGAAGTCAGATAAACAGGTAATCAGCTAGTTTGCTCTCACCCAAGCCAAACTCCCTGATAGTGAGTCAATTCTGACTCATAGAAACCCGACAGGGCAGAACAGAACTGCCCCAGTAGGTTTCTGAGACCTTAACTCTTCATGAAAGTAGAAGGCCTCATATTTCTCCAGTGGAGCAGCTGGTGGTTCTGAACTACCAACCTTGCAGTTAGCAGCCCAACTCATAACTCACTACACACCATGAGGGCTCTTCGGTCAGTATGTTCAGCCAAAATCAAACTCACTGCCGTTCAGTAGATTAGGTTTGTCAATTGAAGCTTTGGGAAAATAAGGAAATGAACAGGACCCAGCCCAATCCAAACCACTGCCCTCCATTCTGATAATGACCCTCTAAAGGGTTTCCAACACTGTACATCTTTATGGGAGCGGACAGCCTTGTCTTGCTCCTGTGCAGGGCTAGTGGATTTGGACTGCCAACACTGCAGGTAACAGCTCAATGCCTTCACCCGCAGAATCACCAGTTACTTGAAAAGGAGCCTACTTTAGCCTTCAATACTCAGGCTGTGTCTGAGCTTTGAGAGGGGCTGCAAGAGGGTGCAAGTGCACCAGGGGTGTCCAGAGACCCAGAAGTGGTTCACACTGACTGCAGGAAGTGAGAAAGCCAAGAGCCGTCTGGTTAAAGAGCTACTGTGTGGGGTAATAACAGCCTACAGGATGGTGGTCATACACTGAGACATTAGTGAAAACAAGTTCAACAAAAGAGGAAAGACGATGCCATGATACCACGAGTGGGGGTAATTATCACATCGACTTCAGATTCTAAACTATTGTTAAGTGTAGGAAAAGCATTAAGCATTTACACCACTTTTTGAGGAGGCCCTCTAGCTGATTACACATGGTAAAGCAAAGGTCTTCCCCAAAAGTAATGGCAGCATTAGTTTGGGCCTAGGTCATCTCCCTGCTGTTCTGAGTATGAATGGCAAACCACACTCATGTGCATCACTTGAAGTCCCGTAGTGGGATCCACCCGAGTGCTCAATCAGGATCCACCTTGTAATAGGATTCCCAGTGTGATTCAGGCACACAGGGTCCCCTCTGACATCACCAGAAAAAAACTGGTTAAATACAGGACCATTGGGCCTACACCCAGAACTGCAAAATGTCCCGGAAGCCTGGAACCCGTGCTCTTAATAAGCTTCTCAGGTGCTCTTGCTGGAGCCAGTCACACCAGGATGTGGCGGTCGGGAGTCACTGCATAGATCCCCGTAGCTACTTCGCCTCTGCTTAAACCACCTTCCCCTTCTTTTTGGAGAATAAGAAATGTAACAGATCTAGGCTTTTATTTTTCTTATTATGCATGCAAGTTTATGAGCATTTATACAGCTTAAGAATACAGAAATAATTACGTTATCACCAAGGTGTCAAACTTGCAAGACAACCAGTTACTGATGAATGAATGCTGAGATGCTATTTTCACAGAACATGGCAACTGTTTCCAAAGAACACTTCCAAGGAGTGGTCCTCCAAGAGACTCGGACCAGTTGATAACAGCCCTATAGCTGATAAGGTGACCAGATTTTAACATTGGTAAAGCGGGACACCATTGATAAAACTCATATCCTGGCGAAATAGCCACATGGCAGCCGAAAACCATATACCCTAGCTTGTTGTGCATTCTTTCCAAAAATCGGGACTTTTTAAAAACGCTGCGGGATGCAGGAAAATTTGTTAAAAATCGGACTGTCCCACCAAAAGCGGGACGTCTGGTCACCTTACTATAGCAGTCAGAGAAGTCTCCTCTCCGTATTACACGAGAGGAAAGAAAAAGGGGCATTCTCCTGAAGGGTCTTCATGAAGCACCTTCTCATCGCAGAGCCAGTCCATCTTTCTGTCCGGCGGGGGATGAAGGGGGGCCTGGAGCATCTACTTTGTCTCTTTGAGACTCTTCATTAATTCTCAACACGTGTACCCTGAAGAGCCCATCCCTGGAACTCCACACCACAATGTCGGAAACAAACAAACAAAAGCAGAGCCGAGGTGATGACAGCTGTGCATCTCCTCACTGTCATCACCAAAAGGAAGAGCTCCGATCGCCCAGCAGTCACAGAACTGGCAGTCATGGACTTCGGATAACCTATTCAACAAGGAGAGAGGGAGACAGATTGATGGCAGTGATCACTGATACAGTTAAGGTGGTGGGCACACTTTAGTGCATGCCTGGAAATGTCTGTAGGGGTCAAATGTTTAAAAGAATAAAATGAAAAAAATAATTTAAGGAAGCAGACATGCACAGCTCTATTTTTCCATTAGGGAAAAAAATAGGGCAAGTGAGAAGATTTTCACTTGGTGGTAAGTAAACAGCAGAGAGCATTCATCTTCCACATACACACGGCCACACCTAGAATGAGAGACAAAACATTCAAAATCCTATAGCGATGACTGAGAGACTGGGAAAAACTTAGGGTACAACCCCATCTAGGCATGCTGTTTTAACCCCTGGCTATCCATCAATTCCAACTCCCAGAGGGCAGGGTAGAACTCCTGTGGTAGTTATATAATCTGGTGTCAACTTGAGACTACAATCTGGTGTCAACTTGGAGTTTAGCTTGTCAATCAGGTCACAGCTTGATGACCTCAGTTGGAGATAAATAGCTCACTGGAGGCCAGACCGACACTCTCTGCTTTGTCTTCCTGCTGACAAGATACATGGGGCTATGCTGAAGGAACCAGAGCTCTGGAGCTGGAGGAGTCACATGGAGACCCCTGTCAGCACTGAGATGCTTCCACTGCCACTGTATCCACAAGACTTTCCACCCACTGACCTGTGATATTCCTGCATTCGGTGTCATTGCATGTGTTGTGTGAGTCTGAAGAGGAATTTATAGATTGGTATCGGACATATGGGCTAATATGGGACTTATGGACTTGATCTGGAGGGCTGGGGCGGTTTTTCAATATACATTTGGTCTTTTATATAAAGCTTTTTCTTATACACATGAGTGTCTATGAATTTGTTTCTCTAATCCAGTCAGATTAACACAACTCCCCAGGAGGCTTCCAAACTGTAAATCCTTAGGAAGCAGATTGTGGGATCTTTCTCCCATGGAAGAGCTGTTGGACTTGAACCGCAAGCCTATCAGCTGGCAGTTGAACACTTAACCACCTCACCACCATTTGTCACCTTTTAAATTCTCCCATCTCAACCTTAGGAAGGCCCCTCCCCATTCCCTCTATCCCCCAGAAAAAGCCCTGCCCTCCCAGAAGCCTCTCAAACTATTCCTGTCCTTTCCCAGGCCCATCTCACAACCCCCCCACCCCATAGGCATATTCCTGCTTCTGGGGGTGATTTTTGCACCAATTCTCCTGCCCACTTCTCCCTCTTTCCAGCTTTAAACCAGCACCTCTAGCCCTTGAAGAACTTTGAATGAGGTCTTCCAAAAGGAAAGCAGGTCTGGGGGGCAGGCAAATATAGAGATACAGTCAGAGATGAGGGTGGAGGGCAGTCAAGATTGCTCAAGGGAGGGCCAGGCTCAACTCCCATACCCACTATGAATGAGTCTAAAAGCATAACAGATTCTATCTACACCCCTCTTCAGATCCCAGAAGGGAGCTTTGGGACCCACACACTGGAGGCTAAAGCCTGCTCTTTATAGGGCTTCCAGCACTGAACAAAACACTGGTGAGAAGGGAAAAGCTGGGGGCTGAGGGCCCCGATGTCCAGAGGTTACCACAGAGGAGGAAGCAGTGGGAGATGCCTGGGCATAAGGGGCACGCACACGGGAAACAGTCAGAAAAGTGAACATGACCACACAACAGTACTTTGTGGGAGTTCATCATTCTAACAGATGCACAGGCATGAGAAGTTCCAGCTCGAGAACTGTGAGGGCGTACAGGCCTTCTCCATCTTCTTTTGAGCCCAAAGTGTGTGTGTGTATGTTTTGAGTCCCCAGTTGTCTCACTAGGTGTGTGTATGTGTAGATGGGGGGGTAAGGAGCTATGGAGATATGAGACAAAGACTAGTACAGACAGACCCACAGATCGGAAACATCACTTCCCTAGCGCCCCCACCATGGCACTCTAATCATCACTTCCCTAGCGCCCCCACCATGGCACTCTAATGACGTCTGGGAAGAAGGGAGAGGAGTTGACAGACATCTAGACTATGTGGATCCAGTCTCTACCCTCACCCGCAGCCACAGTAAGATGACAGTGAGCACATGGCCATACCTGCCAGTCCACCCATCTGGCAGCCCGTGGGGCTTCTGGAAGGTTGCTGTGGGGAGGTGTGTGTCTCACTCACTGGCCGGAGGGCTGGGTCCACAGGCAGTTCTCGAAGTCCTTCTCAACCAGGAAGCCAACGGGGGCCACAGTAACCTAAGCCAAACTCGACCGGAGAGTGATGGGGTGTGGCCCTGGCCTCAACCAAGGTCCACCAGAAGAGCTCAGATCAGGAGGCAAGATGATGTCGAACACGGTGCACCTGCTCCCGTGCAGGTGGGTAGCCCAGAGCCCTGAGCAAACTCAGAGATCCAGTAGGTGGCATGACTGGTGCCCCAGGGCTATGGAACTGTCCTGGCCGGTGGCCCACACCCTGTACAGGAGTTTCATTGTGTCGCAGACATAGAGGAGCTTGCCAAAGGTGGCCTGTAAGGGCAGCAAGAATACCAAGGCCAGCAAGTCACTAGTGTGATGTAATAGAGCTGAGGCTACTCTGGTCCTGCTGGAGGTTGACTCCATGAGTGTCCAAGTTAAAGACAAGTGGGAAAGGTCAGCGCCAAGAGCAGTTCCAGGTAACGTGGATAGAGGCAGCACACATCTGAAGCACCGCGTGTTTGTTCTGTGGGATCACCTAACAATGTGACACTAAGTTTGGAAGGAAAAAAAAAAAAGGCATGAAGCTCAGAGGGAGGCAAAAGAGCATGACCATAAAGGCCATGTCCCTGTAGTGAGGGCAGTGAAGGTCCAAAGCGGCTATGGGGCACATATGCCAGCATGAAGAGACAACACTTGGCCCAGCACATGTCAGCCAGGCAGGTTCAATGGGAGGTAAGGGGGAGACTTGTGCGGCCTCATTTGGACTGGTTCGCCTCGGAGGATTCCTTCGGTTGCTGTTCCGGACTTTCCCCGACCTCCGTTCCTTTCTTTCCGGGGGCCCCTTCACTCAGAAGGTAATACTGCAGGGGGTTGGGCCACAGTTCCTCGTTGATTATCTCAACAATTTTGTCAGACTCAATGGAGCTGTGATTGGAAAACCACCAAAAGAAGCTGAAGAGGTTGTCCGAGTCTCCCTGGCTGAGGGCCTGGACATCCTGGCCTGGGAGCCATTGGATTGGGGTAGACCGTGACACCACCTGGCCCGAGGGGCCACACCCATATTCTTTGATGAGCACCTTGTTTTGGAAAAAGGGGTTGCGGGCAAAGTAGAACTTAATCTTGTAGCCCAATCTGGCCAGGCCAAGCTCTTCCACGTCCAGGCTGTGCAAGTAACTGAGAATTTTCTTATCGTGCTGGCTCAGAAAGGATGCTAGCTGGGGGTGGTTCCGAAAAGCTTGCCCCCAGAAGCCCGGGATATTCTGGATGAGGAGGTTCCGTCGCTCCAGGTGGTGCAGTCGCAACTGGCCAAACTTGCGCGACAGCCGAAGGTAGGCCCTGTCCGCCTGCGCGTTCACGGTGTCCAGCTTCTGCTGGAC